CTATGTGGAAATAGCGTGCGTCGTCATCGGTCATTCCGCAGAGGGCGAAACGAGGCTCAGTCGGTGCGAACGAAGCAGCCGCTCTCCCAAAAACTCCGGCAGTTCGAGAAAAACTTCGTTTTTTCCCATCTTCGGTTCAGTCTCGGATACTTCTGCGAGACTTCTGTCAGGGTCACCAATGTAGTGCCGAGAGACGGGAGGCGGTGCATCGAAGGTACAAAGTTAGCTTTATTGAGCATCAGAAACACACATGTTGTCGGCTTGAAGCCCGGGAAGAGAAGGGAAGAAGAAAAGGAGGGCACACAGTACATAGTCAACATATGTCTCCGTGTGGAACAATACCCCCAACCCGTAGTTCCATGAGTGAATTATGTCAATCAGTGATCACTACATACCTTTAGTTACTTTACAGATAGCCTATGGATTAATAATGTGAAATATAAAAAACAAGTCCATAGGGACTTGGCTTGGCAACTGGAAGTTCAAGTTCCGGCAAGACCAAGTGCTACCGAGGTATCCCTGAGCAAGGCACCGTTCCCTACACTGCTCCCCGGGCGCCGTGCATAATGTCAGCTCACCACTCCTAACACTAGGATGCGTCAAATGCAGAGAAACCATTTCATTACATACTACCTGTACTATGTAATGACAATAAAAGTGCAAAAAAAATAGATGTAGTGTTGTAATCTTTATAGTCAAACAGCACAGATCAGATTTGATTAAAAACTTTATTAGATTTTGTGTTTCTATAATAAAGACATTAAGAGCTCATGGACAGATGAAAGGTTGAAAATGGAGACACAGCGTGCAGAGAGCAGCGGTGGAGCATGACTTGGTGAGTCTGTACGTTCTGCAGGGTCTGATCGAGTACAGGGGCTCGAGTCCACTCCAAACTCCTCTCTGGATGTTCCACTGATCCAGGATATCTCACACTGTTGTATTGCTCACAGAACTGTCACAGTAACTCAAAGGTGCAGTGTGACAAACTGTCACTTTTGTGATTTGCATAGAGTTGCTTGTCATCATTTGCCCTCATTGACACAATCACTGCCCAAAAACATTCTCAATTCCTTCACTCATTGAAGTCTAACAGGACAACAACTGACATAGATTAGCCAGTCAAAGAAAACCCACTTTTCAACAGTTAAAAAAAATGATTGCCATAAAATAATTTGCTAAACATTGTAGGCTATCCATTTTTTAAAGCAACAGCCGGAGGTTAAGACCTGATATCTTGAAAACCCAATTCATACAGTTCTTCCCCAAGGTGGATTTTTTTCTCTTGAGTCTAACATTGTAAAGGAATATGATAAATGTATATATTACACGTTGCACCTTCTACCTGCAATGACCTTGTTGTTGTTTTTTTAAAGATCCCAATAATTGGGACAATGAAGTGACCTCAGCTTTTTCTGCAATTTTGCCTTTCCATCAGTGTCATCAAATAGGCCCAAAATTGATAATTATTTCTAAATAATAATTCAATATTTTATAGCAAATAGTCCACTGGTTTATAACTTAATTAATGGGATATTTTTGAAATGATAGCTGAGCATAGCTTTAAAGACAGCAGGGGATACAGCTAGCCTTGCCCTGTCAAACACTTTTGAAAAATGAAATCTAACTTCCAACACCTCTAAGTGCCACTTAAGATTAAACAAATGAGATATGTCATGCTTAGTGAGATTTAAAGGTGTTTGTAGGCGGATTGTTTCCTTTGTAAAGAGCCAGGCTAGCTGTTTCCCCATTTCCAGTATTTATGCTAAGCTAAGCAGATATTAGCTTCGTACTCACCATGTCAGATTGGGTGGTATTGAAATATTTAGCTCTGCATCGAATAGCAAAAAAGCATCTATGATCTCATCATTGGATAATCATGTACAAAAAAAATTAACGTGTTTTTAAAGTGTCACACACATCCATTTAATAATATTGCTTCAAGCCAGTGACTAAAGGCTGTAGTCTTTTTAATGTGGAGGCACATTATTGTCAACATAAAAATTAGCTTCAGACACCACCAGAAACTCACAGTGTACAGTACGCTGAGCTAACACCTGCTGAAACTGGGGAGGTACAATCATATCTGACCCAGAGCTCACACACACATTTGTCCCACTCTCCAGAGGTAATTATTTTAAAGCCAGACATTCAGTGTCTTAAATGTGCAACAGTAAATGTAGGGGAAATTGTATTCACCTTTAGTATGTGATGCAGATACATTCATCTCCTAACATAATGCTCAGTAAGAATCATCCCTGTTTGGCATGTTTTATTTCCTGCTTGAACTACAGCCCCCATACCGTGCCAGCTTTCTGAGGCCTCATCCCATGATCATTTAGAGTATGAATGTATGGGTTATTTACTGTATGCATGGTCAGCACAACCATGGTAATTATTTTTCACTGCAGTGCAGTTGCTAAAGATGATTTATTGCAAAAAGTAGTGGCTGGCTGAACGGATGTTTATGCACCTGCTTCAAATCTTATTAGCCGAATAAATGCCTTGTACCAGTTGTCATCAAAGCAATGATTTGAGGGGGTATGGCTCTAATTTACCTCATAGTAGGCTCAGTAGACCTTTTTTATCTATTGGTGAGTTGGACCAACGCTGGGACATTCAAAAATCGTTAAGCTGCAACATGTAGTAGCCATAATAATAATGACAGGAGCCAATGTGGGACTAAACATTTTTTTAAAGCAACAATCTCTGCAACTGTAATCAAGGGCTTACTATTTGTGTCCTCTGTTGAATAAAATCTTGACCTATATTTAATAATAAAGGAAAGTGAACATACTTTGTTGTCCTTAACAGCAGTAACACACTTTACTTACGTATAACTTAACTTATGTGACTGATGTACGTATTTGAACTTAAACCATTATCTTCTAAACCTAACAAAGTGTTTTTGTTACATTTTACATAATCCACGTTTAAAATCGCGACCATTTCACAGCATTACAATTCAATGGCAGTGATAACAACTGATAAACGGCCATTTAATGGGTTGATAACATTTGAAATAGGTGTTAATTTACTGAATGCATGGGCAGGATCATCTTTTCACTGCTGTGAATTTATTGCAAAACACAGACTGATTTGTTTCTGTTTAAGAAGAAACAAGTCATGTTTTACAAGGTGGCCCGTACTAATATATGTTTGATCAAGGCATACAGTGTCCAGGGCGACGTCACCAAAAAGTGCTTAGCCTTAGCAAGGGTTAGCACAATGAAATTAGCATGGCATACAATGGGATTTACAGTTAACCTCAGAGCTGACTCTATTAGTCTTAGTACATCGGAGCATGTTTCCTCTCCAAAAAGGAAGTGTTTTTGTTTTCAAGCATTGTATCTAAAATCTGGCTTGTGTTGCACATGCTTAAAATGCATTGGTTATTTGTCTTAAAAGCAGCATCATCGGAGGGTCATTCATTTTCTAGGGGTGGGGTTGTTTTTAAGGGATTGTCTATCATGTCAGTTCAGAAGCTTATTGTATTATTACTTTTTTGCTGAGCTTTATAAACTGTTTTGCAATATGTAGTTGTCCCCGCTGGCAGAGGAGCATAGAAGCACTAACAGGCACCTGTGTTTTATATCAAGCAGAAAGGTACAGGATGAAGAGCTGGGCTGAGTCCTATAATATTCTGTCACAAAGAACACTTTGTTTTGTTAGTTGTTTGAATAAATCAGACATCACATCATATAATTTGATGTTGACTCAGATGTCCATCTCATCAAAGGGATACTTTGAATTTGGTGTTTGTTAAAGAGGGATTCAGCCCAGCTATAACTACATTGCATTTTATCCTGTCTCAAGCGCTTAAACAAAAAAATATTGTTTTGACTTCGGATGAAAACAGTCAAAGTTTAAATGTGTATGTACTCTGGCTGTGGCCACAGATTTTGATATGTGCAAAATGATATACAACTGCTGGTATTTTTTCTTGAATAAACCCACACACACACAATAAATAACATTCACACAAACATTCCCATAATCTAATAAAATGTGTGCATACTTTGGTTTTAATGTAACCAATTCAACAAGAAACCACCAACCAGAGACACTTAGCTTAATGCTCATTAACAAGCATGCTTTTAGGTGCGGAGGTATCAGATGATGACCACTGGGAATCTTTAAAAAGACCAAAAATCCAGAAATAAATCAACAAATCTAATACAATGTTGATGTGTTTATATTTTACAGAGCCTGCCGAACAGTGGGGAATCGATCAGTTGAAGAATTTCCAGACTATTATTTTTTTAATAGTTAAGTTGTTAACTAACCAGGGGCAACTTGGTAACAGTGTTTTTCCTAGTTGCTTTTTGGACCTGATATACAGGCTCTGTGTGCCACCAGGTCACATTAAGTAAAAGTGCAGATTAACTTTAATAGGGACATTTCATAAGATACAGCAAGCCACACACAAAAGAAAAACAAAGACACCTTTCAGTTGTTTTTTCTGGTAATGTGTTGGCAAAGGGTCTTTGGGATTCCAGGTGGAAGGTGGGCAGTACATATGAATCCTATACAGTATATAGAGGATAAGTGTTTATGGTAGGTGACATTATCCTTTAAATATTGTTTTCTTAATAATTTTGTGTGCATTGACTTGCACAAGCTATAGTTGTATATCATCTGCACAGCTACCTTTCCGTGCACATGCAGTAGCATTGTGTGCACATGTATGTATTCACCTTTGAAGGCCACAGCCAGGCAGTTTTTAAGAACCTACCTAAACATAATGAATTTGCTTGTGTGCAAACACGTGTGCATATACAAATATATGCAACAGTACATCATTATAAGTACTTATATGCTGTTATATACGTGCACTTTCTCATTTCCTTTTTGGTGTTGGTTTTGAATCAGCTTTGGATCCTGAGAGGCCATTTTCTGTGTTGTCGATCCCTGATGAAGTTACAAGGCACTCCTTACTGCAGTGGCGTCAGGGGGAAAAAGAAGACAAAGTTAGAACTGTACATGCACGGCAAGGCAAAGATACATTTTGAGCTCATTCAAAAATCTTCTTCAGCATTTACAGTATCTGAGCTACTTGAAATTGCCTGCCGACCTCTAAAAGTGGGCTCTGATCAAACAGTCTGAAAAAGTGACATAGCTGGTCAACGCGCAGGTGGTGAACTCACTTTTTCTCCTCAAGCTTGGCAAGAACAAAAAGAGTGAAGTTCTTGAGCAACATGAAGGCCATTAGCCCTGCGATTCCTCCGCCCACAGCAGAGGCTATGATGATGGTCAGTGTGTTGTCCACCACCCTCACTGCAGACATGGACAGAACACCAGAGGAATGATGATTGGGGGAACAAATGTATATATAATCCGTTTAATGAGGGGTTCCAAAAAATAAACATTTTCTCCAACTTTTAACAGAAGGACTATAAGCTCTTTTGAATTTTGTTTTTGTTGGGAGAACGTAACCAAATAATTAATTTCAAATACATTCAATTTTTTTTTAAAGAAATACATAAGTTCGATGTACATTCTTTATCTGATCATTTTCGGTAATTTTCATTATTTTACTCAGCAGTACATGCCTTATATGCCTTATATGTATATGTGGCCTGATTTATCTAATTAGCATACAAATGAATGCATGTTCTAGTTTATTTGTACTTCAGCATGCACCTTATGGGGCTATCAAGCTAGCCCCAATGAGTTGTCCTACATTGTGATTGGCCAATATACAGTATGTCAGGGCACATAGTTAAACTAGTCAAATCTAAGGGGATGTGTTGTCAGATTGGCACATTTTCCACTTAATTAGGTCCACTTTTGTTGCTGAAAGGGACAAATATTTGTTCAAGGTGAGATTATGTTGGACTGGTTTAAGATCGTTTGGGCAGTTACTAAATGTAAATACAAATTAATAAGAATACAATTTCACCTTAGAACCCATTCATATGATGAAAGGAAAATAAACCATATCCCTCCTTCACATATATGACCCACATTACCAGCTTAGACCACTCACACTCGTCCACCACGATGAGGGTGAAGATGGTGCTGTGGTTCCGGCCCTTTTCTTTGGGGTTGCGTCCAAAACAAGTCCACTCGCCTGCGTCCTCGAAGGTGATGTTCCACAGCAAGATGGAGACGTTGCGGTCAATGTTCTTCCCAATGAACTCCACCCGCTCTCGATATATATTCACTTCTGGCTTCGACTCCTCTGACACTATCATGGAATCGCACACCTGACAGGAGCAACAAGCAGTCAATCATCTAAAAACTTCCAAACAGTTAGTTACCTGAACATTTCTCTCAACTAGAGGGATCTTACCTTCTGCATGGTGCCATTTTCATTAAACGTCCAGCTGAAGTAGAGGTCTTTAATGCCGATACAGCTCAAGTACGTGCAAGGCAACAAGACTGTGCTGCCATTCACCGCCTGCAGGAAGGGAATCTTCCCCACAGACATTTCCAGGCCCTGGACATACCACGCGCCTGAGGATGAACGGGAATAGAATTACATTTGACAGTGCAGCAGTGTCAGTCTACTTTAAAGCAAGCTTTCAACATTTTGAGAAATGGGTATCATGTGCTTCTTTATGCAATTTTACAGGGGGTTATGTCCTAGACTGTTTTAAAGCTTTGAACAAAGATTTTTCCTGTGTGTTCGTGCATTGAGAAGTCTTGTCATTATCGTGAGAAAGTACTTCCTGAAGTAACTTTTCCCGGGGTCAAGAGAAAGTCTTCTGTGCGGTTGAAGAGTAAAAATTATATTATAATAGAATTGTTTTTCTAACCGGAAAGGACTAAGAAAAGAAAACTACAGCGCAAAGAGAATTGGACTGCACCTATAGGCTACCTAACTATGTGAATGTTATTGTGTGCCATCACTATAAATGAAGTGTGGGATAGCATTTCCTTCTTTCTTTTCATTAAGGATGGTCTATATAGGGTCACTTGTGCTTAAGGTGATAAGAAAGAAGGCATTTAAGCACTTTTCCTTAGCAATTAGAGAATTTGAACAGCTCTTATTATGGATGTCACTCAGCTAAGCTAAGTTATAATTTGCTTGCTGTAGCAAAATGTTCACAGATTTGAGACTACTCAAAATAAACAATTAATTGAGAAACAATCAACAGATTACTGTGATGTGGCTGTGAGGAAGTGTGGTGGGCTTTCTATCAGTAGGTTGTAGATTTGAATCCAGCCCCTGTAGTCAATATGTCGATGTATCCTATATCCTGATGGCCAACAGTGTGAGCAAGTGGCACATTGCTCAGTATGAATGGGGTATGAATGGGTGAATAATCACTTCTGGGTGGAGAAGCGCTTTGGGAGTCGTAAAGACTGGATAAAGTGCTACGCAAATACAGTTCATTTACCATTACATTGCATTTCATTTAGCTGTCAATTTATCAAATCCGACTAACTAAAGGTGGAATTAACGTTCAGAATACAATTTCAGAACAGCAAGAAATCCCGAACATACATTATCTTTAATAGGCTAAAGCAGATTCATTGAACATTTAAATAGTCATTACTTCCGGCTCCTTCTCTTTAAACAAATCACCCACATTTAGGCTATTCTAAATTATCTTCTTTTAGCTAACGTTAGAACAAATTCACATTTTCCTGCCTCCCACTTTGAACGTTTCTGTTGGAAACCAGTTTAATCTTATTTTAGGTAAACATATACTAAGGCACTAGGCTAGTCAAACCCACAGTGACATGGCACCAAAAACCTGTGACATTTATGTAAATAAGAGAAGAGAAACTCTGCTGTGCCCAGAGTAAGAACTGTTACTGTACAGCAGGGACCACAGACAAGAAGTCCCTGTAATTACATTTGACTTCCACCATTCAAAAGAGAAAACGGCCATGTCTTTTTTATTAGATGTTTTTGCCTTATTCCTTATTTGTTCTCAACTTAGCAGATATTTAAATTCTCATTTAGCCACCTAGTTTTGTGTCAAGATCACAGGTAACAAATAGGTTCACTTTAGCATTTAACCAGCTGTTACAATTCTCTGAATGCTCTCACCATGGGCTTCTAGTGCTTAATGCTTCCATCTAGTGTGTGACTTGTAAACTGCATGCCCAAAAGATGCTGTGCAGAACTAGTGCACATGTGCAGAGGTAATACAAAAAAACCTGACACCAGGATAAGATAAATGGTTTTAGGAGCAGCTGTATTTTCGGTGCTGTTTCTAACATTCCCAGGATTGTGCCCTCTGTTTTGGGCACAGTGTGTTACGCCTGGCTCATAACATGGTCAAGGTCAACGTCTGACAAGCACCACTGCAGCAAAGAGGAGTAACGTAACAGCAGATACGGCTCCATCCATGCGGAGCTGTGGCGTACTGTATGTGGGAACGATATTGATTCATTCTCATCTCTCACCCCGGCTATCTCACAAACCTCACTCTCTCCAATCCATTTCCTCAGCTGGTCCAATGCAGCACAGTGAGCTTGCACATTTTTTTAATAGAAACAACCCCTCCCGCCTAGATCCTTGTGCAAATGTTTAGTGTTACGCTGGCTTTTTGATCAGCCTTATGCAAGATGTGCATTCTGCATTCTGCATTCTTTACAACTTGTGTTCCTTTGTGTGTACTTAAAATATTTGTTTTCAATGAAGATACAATATAATGATGCTACCATTACTCTAGGTACTGAAGCTGTTGATAAGAGACCAAGAACAAAACAAGTCTAATTTCTTGATAAAGTATCTGTTCTCCTTTCAATGAGCCTGACTTTCTTTTGTATTGTGTCTAAACATTAAAACATTACTCCCCCTTAAATCAGTAAGGGCTCTGTTTTGAATTTGTGTTTTAGGTATCCAATCAAGTTTTGTTTTGCAAGGTAAAGATATGGTGCTTCAGATAAAAGTAGAACAGCAATGCTCTAGTTTCTAGCCTAAATATGTCAACTAGAACAAACCTTGTTTTTGTAATGCTATCACCAAGCTACCCACATCATTGAAACTGAGATTTTCGCAAGGGGGGTCCTAAAACAACCTATTTGAGGTAAAAGGTGATTTGCTTTGAATTATGAGGATTTCGAAAAAAAACAAAAAAACAGTGTCTCTCAAAGTGGAACATAATTCAACATGAACAGCCTGTTGGAAGCCAAACATACTAAGACATATGATCACTACATATCATTACAGCCCTGTAAAATGCTGAAGCTTTGACGAAACCGCTGTAGCATCTTTCTTTCTGCTCCTTAGCCACCTGCACCTGCTAATTAGTCTACCATGCAGTTTAACTTATAGGCCGCCATCTTGTTTGGTGTTCATTCTAAATAAAGATAAGACCTGCAAACAACACATCCTGGAAATACCATTACAATGTTAACCTGGCAGCACATCACCACTGACAATGAAGGTCACGTGTGTAAATGGGACAGTAATGGTTTAAATGTATTATTGACTTTTAATGTGATCGACTTTGAAAGACTGGTCATGTTGAATGGATGTTTTAGAGCTGACAATAATGTCAGTGACCTTGTCTGATGGATGTTTATCTATTAAGTATGTGTTCGCTGAACTATTACTGCATTGATAACCCACACCATAGTTACCTACTGTCCGTGCACTGCAAAAGCACTCCTGATGTTTTACAAGACACTGCTTAAAGTGACCCTACTGCACTTTGCTGCAGATGTACCTCTGGTCCAGCACAATAAACAGTGCATGGCAGGGCCTATAGTCTGTCACAGCTTTCCATTTACAAGAGCATCTATTCTGCTGACATATCCTTTTGTGGACATACAATCCCAATCCATAGCAATTTCGATCACAGATCAGTGTGCAGCCACTATCAGTCAAAGACTCCGAAAACTGCATTTTATGAACCCGTCATGGTCTGTGTCCTTTCTGTTTCGAGGCAGACCCAGCAGCACATTTTGCTGATGTAATGAAACCCATAAACTCCACAAACGACTACTCACACAGCTTTTAAACTAGTCCTATCAACAAAACAAAGCTCTTTTGTAAATCCTATAGTGTACCGACACATGGACTAAATAAAAATGCAAAAAACACCTGCGTACAGTATGTCAGGAGCTGATGAAGGTCAATGTCAGATCTAACTCTGCATAACAATACAAACACATGCTCATATTAGCTCAAGTTTAAAAAATAAAGGTGAGAGACAAGAGGCACTGTGCACACGAGCTGTGGCATCCCATAGCAAGTAAAGAGAGGTGACGTAAAGTGAGAGCCATGACATTACCAAGCAGCAGAGGGAAGATCAGGCCGACAGCTGTGTGTTGAGGGCCCATCCTCTGGACTTCAACCCCGGCCCACTGGACCTCCATGGCAGCAAGATCAGCTCCAAAAGAATTGCTGCAGCAGAATCCAGCGGGCTCCAGAGAACTTGTAAAATATCCTTTACAGCAACTTATCCTCTCTGGTATACTGGACTTAAATCTGGAAGCTGCTGTCTGGGTGTCTTCAGCCCAAACAAGTCCAAGCTGTGCCCCTGCAGCAGCTGGGGGTGAGGAGCCTGACCGCCAGCCCCCACTACACTCCTGTGAAAGAGACTGTAGGTTAGACAGAGGGCAAAGAAGAAGAAAGGGACAGAAAGAGAGAGCAGGGCGGAAAGAAAAAGTTGATCAACTGACATGTTAAAATAGGATATAAAGTCAAAAGCACATTCGGGACAGGTAAAGGTACAGGCTTGTGTGTGTTTCCTGCATGCTAGAAACTACTCTTCACCCCATGTAAAAGGGGTAAGCTGAAGGAAAAAACACATGCACAGATTACGTGTTGTCATGTTACCTGCTCCTGCAGCCGGTGCTCTCTCACAGGCCAGCAGGCTGCACAGCTGAGTCAGTGTGGATAGGACAGCAGCGGAGTTACACACACTGCGCACAGTCAGGGTTCAGTCAAGGAGAATCCAGCCAGCCAGTACTTTCACTGCAGAGCCAGCCACATTGCAGCGGCAGCCAGGACGGGAGACAATTAGAGAGGAGAGGGGGGAGAAAAACACAAATGTAGGGAGACAGACGGACAGGAGGAAAAGCCGCTGCTCTCATTTCCCCTCAGCAGAGCATCAATGACGCCGACTCCTCTCCCTGCCCCGTCCCCCCGGCTCCCTCACAACTTTTCCCCGTCCTCTCTGTTGGCTGCATGCCACCTCTCTCTCCCCCACCCATCTCTCCGTCTCCCCTCCCTCACCTCCCCCCCCGAACCATCTTATTCTCTCCTCCTCCTCCTCCTCTCTCTGCTCCCCTCCCTGCCTCACCCTCCTCCCCATCTCCTGACTCGGGGCGTGAATGCAGACTCAGGCACTTTTGTCAGAGTGTTTGTGAAGATCAGAGAAAAGTTCTGCAGTGCAGGTTGAGCAGGAAGAGGAGTGATGCAGCCACAGGGCCGGGGCCAGCACAGTCCCACACCAAAACTCTCCATTCATGAATAGGCATGTTCTCTCACTGATAACATCACCTTCGAGGAACAAACTTACAGAATTACAAGTAGCAGGATAAACCAGTTGCTACTCTCTATTCAAATGGGATGAACCTCTGAAAGCTGTTACCCTTTTTGGTTGTCTTCTATATTATTGATAGTGGGAGACGTTTTCTTATGATTGCACTTTCCTCTCCTCCCCCCTTCCCCTGAAAGGCATGCCCCTGCTGGGACTCATATTCTCCTGGCTCAGGATAATCAACGTCCCCTGGTGATGTGTGCATATGTGTCCCATTCAATGCCTCGAAGGTCAAACTGTCCTGTACATCATGAGGCTTTCATTACTCTAGTGTGATCAGTGTGATGCAGCAGCAAATACATTATGATACGAGGCTGTGTGTGTAGTCATTTCACAATGGGACAGCTCCTTTCCCATAAATGTAACCACGCATCAGTCATCGACAGCTGACCAATAGCGTCTGTCTGCACTATTCACTGCAGGACATGGTGCAGGAAGTGCTTAGCTCAGAGATTTGATAAGTTGAGGTTAAACCTGGCTAACGTTGCATTCATACACTTAAGATCATATGCCTGTCTAACTCCATCTATTACTGGAAATAGAAGGTGACTACACAGTAATGGTGTCTTATGAGTTCAGTAGAAGAAAAAAGGTTGGTGACTGGTTAATCAGAGTTTCATATTGGGAAAAATTGAGAATTGTGAGTGTTAACTGGATGCAACTGAGACCATGTGACTTGCCATCTGAGCCGAGGTACAGTTACACAGGCAGAGGACAAGGGGACAGCTACACATCCATTTTGGACTTAACCTCCTGATGTATTTTTCTCAGCTTACAGAAATCCTTTTTCCTTAACATGAGAAGAAAAGGTAATGTTTGCAACTCGTAAGAGGATGCAACTGGAATTTAATTTGCTCGGTTTAACTTCAGTTTCAAAGATAGATGCAAGTATTGGTCACACAGTATACATGTATACTGTACAATACTTTGAAAATACACTGCAATCTGTTTTTCATTGAGAAAGTTATAATGCAAATATGCAGATGTTTAAGAATGGCATCTTGTTTCTTTGGTAGCTCATGCTCAATTTGAAATAACTATTATTTGTTTAGATTTTATGAAACACATCTAATTCAGATGTCAGCTGTTATACTATTGCATTCAATATCATAAGCAAGTTTTAGTGGATTGTGAGGGGAAAAGAGGGTATTGACACAACTCACTAAGCAAAACTAGAAGAAATTAAATTAAAATCTAATGTGTGTAATTGGCTGATGAGTGCACAAAGTACATCTGTGTTTAATTAAACAGTAATAGATGTTATTGAGGCTGGAACCTGCAGGGCCTGCACACAATTAATAAGCTGTAAATTACAAACACAAATAATAACTAATATGGTTCATATTAAGCATATATAGAAGTAGGTGTGGTGCTGGGTGACAGTAAAGATAGAGTGGGGAGTGGTTTGACGGATGTGAAACTCTAAAGTGAGAGATCATGTGGCCGGGCTGCAGGCTCACTGCTCTCCTCTGCAGGCCCCTCCACTGGAGTTTTAATGCAGCAGCGGTGGGAACTCTTCCAGAACTGCAAAAGAAAAAAGAAAAAGCATTTTGCTGCAGAAAGACAGGGTGCTGCTGCAGACCTGTGCAGGACAACACAGAGTGCTCATGTACAGTCACACAAACACAACCACTTGGTATGTAGTAAACATATATGAATTATCATGTGTCCTATATTATTAATAGATGCCATGTAGGTGCAACCTCAGCATTTAAAAGCACGTAGGTGTCACTTGCTCTTACTGCAGCAAAATGTGTGCTGCTCCAAAGGAAAGAGACAAGGACACACGTGTCAGCGCTCTGTGCGTTGGAGTGTTAGAGCAAAACATAATGAAAACATAAATTCAGTGGTGGAAATAGTATTCACATGTTTTACTTCACTACATTAAAAGGTTTCTGCTACTTGTACTATAATTGTATTGCATAATTTAACAGTAGCTGCAGTAGGCTACACTGTAAAAAAAAAAGACAAAATAAACTGTTAAAAATAATCTGCCATCTGTGGTAATATTGGATTTTACGGTTAGGGGATCGAGTTTGACTATAATGGGTATAAATAAAATGTAAAAATTGTTCTTACCACATTTACCATAGACTACAATAACCATAAATAGTTGTTTTGAAGCTGTTATCTGAATCCGTGTATCTACCGTCCAATTGTTTTTCTTTATTAAACACGTAAACGGAAGAGCGTCTGAGAGGCCTTTTTGCTTTTTGCTTTTTACCTTACTAGTCTAATGGTCCTTGGAGTGAGGGGCGGGGCCAAACTCACGGAAGTGATTTCAAAACAAAAGCACTCGTTTGCTAAAATCACACTGAATCACTACAGTATCCTGCTGGTGATTATTATAAACAAGGGGAATTTAGCGATCACAACGAAAACGGCCAAGACACATATTGAGCCCAGAGAATGGATGTTATTAAGGGCTGTAAATATAATAAGCCTTTGTATAAAATGGACAACATTGTTAGGAGATTTAAACTATACAGCGGTTCTGCACTGTGGTCACTCAGCCGTCTCTCGAGTTTTTATTTTCAAATCAGCTGCTCTTCATTCCTGCTATATTTGACGAGTGATACAAATATTTGTTACCACAAGTTGTTAAGGAAACTGACACTGTTGGACTCGGTTCTAGTTTGACTTCTACCAGAAATAAAATGAAGTACTTTTACTATGTAGGCTACTTTGTGAGTAATCCTCTGTCAGAGTCCCCTCCATAGTAGCCTACATCATGCATGTATTCTGCTATCT